GCGGCTCTCTAGGACCGAACTTGCCTACCCCTGCACTGGACCATACACATCTTCATCAGCCAAAGTTAGCACTAGACAGCGCGAGGAAATGACGCATCACAAACGTTTTGCAATCATATGCATCATGTTCTTTTGCCTTGAGAGAGAAAAACAACAAACGCTTGAATTTCAGTTAAACTTTATTCCCTTGTTGTGCATTTAATATCAGGTAATCTGAATGGAGGAGGATACAGACCACTGTAGTGCCATTTTCGCACACTAGAGTACAAGTTCGCCTTTTGGAAAATCTTAGGAAACAACATGTTTTCCTTCTGTGAGATGTAAAAACAGTTTTTGGCATATTGTGCCATGGTAACACCCTTATGATGAGGTAGATCAACCAAAGGCAAGAACAGGAACGCGTTACGATCAGATCCACCAAGAGCAGGCCTGAATGATGTTGGCAGGGCGGATTCTCCCAGAGCTGGATGATTTTGTTAAAAAGCAGCAGTCAACAGTGGCACAAAATTCTCCTTCCGCAGTGACCAGTATTAAGAGACACTTGACTGATGATAACAAGGAAAACTCTTATAGGGGATCCTTCAATTTTTTCTCCAATGATAGTCCACACTCCTCCACTAAAAACGGATACTGAAAATAAGAAAAGAAAATAATTATGACTGTACCAAGGTATTTCAAATAGCCTATCAGAGTCATATTGCTGCACACACAGTACCTGCTGTTGGAATTAAAGATCTCCAATGGGAATAATTTCTTCATTGATGAAAAACTCAATGGTCTCTTCCTCCCAGTCATCGACATTGCTGTCCAGCTCATCAGTGTCCACTCCTAGAAGAGATCAGAAAATACAGTGATTACTAAAATAGTCCCATACTCAATCTCTAGAGTTGGGCTGTCACAATCATTACATTTTTGTTGGCAAAAAAGTCATCACTGTGATTGTCAATTGTGCTAATTTTGTATTATTATTATACTGCAAGCTAAATGCACTGCCAAATTCATTTTGAGCAATTAAACAAAACGCACAATTTCCTATTAGACTTTATAAACCAATAACACATAGGGAATGCCATGAATAAAGTATAAAAATACTAAAACAAGAGGCATGACAAAACAGCCCAAAATGTTTGTCAACCAGACTGAATGGCTGCATATCTATGGTAACGCAAACGTTGATTACCTTTTTTCTGCAGAACCAAGAATGTTCAAATATACCATTTTAAACCTACTGAGAAAGGCCGTACATATGACAGATAATTAGGTCCAATGGTGCAGCAGTTAGCATTTACCAATGACTGGCTAAAAACACACCACTGCACTAGAGAGAGACATCTAACTGGTATAAATGCTACATTTATATGAATTTATAGCAGTGTTCCTCAACCCATTATCCACAACAATATGTGAATGATTAAGGATAATGACTTTTACCATTATTTTTCTTCACAATTTCTACCTGATACAATATTTTAAACCTTGGCATAACTATAAAAATTTATTTTCATATAATGTATAAAAATGCCCATTGTGATATAAGACTATTAATTTACAAATCTAGAAATCATCTCGAGGCCCCCTTAGAAGTTTTACTAAGGCCCTCCGGTTGATATATAGTATTTGGAGCATAAAAGTTCTTCATTTGACCGGCAAAGTGATTACATAACTTAAAGATTAAACATTGCAGTTATGTCAAAAAATCGTGGTTGGATCAATTCATTGCAAACTGATAACACATAATTAATGCAACGGGTCTATTCTAGAAAAAGGCATTGAAACTGTGCTTTGCAAAGCAGCCTAAGAGATGTCACTGATGGTCAATAAAACTCATTGTTGAACAGAGCTGCTCTCTGCATTAGTTACCTCCTCTGAGTTCAAGGCGGAGAGGTTTCTGCTCGTTGTACATGTCAAAGGTTCTCTCACGGTATTTGCGATAGTCCTCCATCATGGAACGTCTCTTGTCCACCAGTTCCTGCGAAGCACAAAGCACTCATTTAAATTTGAGCACTGACCTTTGATCCACATATAAATACTGTGTGCATCCTAGGAAAAAAACAACAACACATCAATTTCATACCTTTGATGCCTTGGACTGACTGAGACGATCTTTCTGCTCAAAGATCTTGGAGTATTTCTTCAAGTCCTTCTTAATGAGCTGTGGATTTCAAAAAGTATAGTGGGATTAGAGTTCACTCTGCTTGACAGAGTAATGAGAGAGACCCTGCATCTGACCCCTTCTCACCTTTATTTGCTCTTGAGTCAGTAGAGAGGGTGGACGGGGCCTCCACAGGAGCTGGCAGAAACGCTCTTTGTTGGTCTTCTGCAGCAGACGGCCCTGGAATGTCCACAGCCAAAAGGCATTGTCCACCTAAATTTAAAAAAATAAAATCAATTTATACAAAGGCATGATATGCATTTTCAGTCCACATAAAAGAATAATAAACACTTCCCTGCATCATATTTTCTGAATGAAAATCCAATAATTATATTGGTATTGATCATTGCAGCCAATCACAGATATATCTGTTAAGCGTGTGAACACAATGGCCAATCAGAGGTGTTTAAGAATCCACTCAAAATGCTAGCGGGAAATGCTGGTATTGTCACATTTTTAAAAATTCAGTACCGACTGGTACCGATGTGGGTACTTTTGTCAACACTAATATATATTTCCAATAGAATCAGATAAATCACCTTGTGGCTCCACCAGGAGACAGACGTCACAACATATCGTCCAGTGGGGTCCCATTCTACGTCCGAGGCCATGTAATGCTCTGCGATGTTCATCATGGTGCAGTCTGACGTGTCCACAAAAGCAAGAGCTCCATTCATGCTATAGGATGAAACACAGAAAATCATACGAATGAACCACTCTAAAAGAAAGTACAAACAAACAGCACATTTAATGAGTACAGACCTCCTCAACCCAGCCAACACCAAAAACTGCCCCTGTGGACTCCAGAAGATGCTATTTGCCTGTTGCTTGTCAAACATTTCTGGAACAATAAATTTTTTGGTAACCTTTTAGATCACATACATGTATAAAAAATATTTGTAAAGAGTAATGCATTCACAATGGGAACACTTACTTATTAAGTCAATTTTGCCATTGTTCTTCACGTGGTAGAATGATACATTGATTCTGGGAGATTCACCATGTAGCACAGCAAATTTGCTGCCATTTGGTTCCCAAGCAAAGGCAATGATGCTCTCTTTAAGATAGGCAGAGAAATCAGAACCAAGAGAAGGTATTAAAGACAGTAAGAAACAAGAAATGGCAACATAATGTCTCAAGATCCTTCTTACTTTACCTTTCATCTCCACCACATCCACAGGTACCTGCTTCTCTCTCATTCTGAAGATCTCAAAGTTGGTGACAACGCCCTAAGGCAGAAAAGAAATTGAGCAAATCCGTGAAAAGGAAACATTTGAGTTTAGTGTCAAAGCACAGTTTCAAAGCAACTCTCATACCTGTGTTCCTTTGGGTGTCCTGTCCACCTTCACACAGAGATAGTCTCCGTTTTTCTGCCAGTGAAGTTTGCAGTCCACAACATTAAACAGGTTGCGGACTCTGATCTCATTCCTGGATGGAAGCTGCATGAGTGTTACTCTTGCTGGGATGTCCTTATCCTCAGGAACCCAAAATG